AGACGCTTAACCGACTGAGCCACCCAGGCGCCCCACTTATAGACCGTTTTTATCACCCCCTGCAGAACCCAGGTCTGTGCTTATTAGTAGTCACTCCTCATCTCCCTGCCTTTCCGCAACCCCAGCCTTAGGCAGCCACTAATCTACTTATCTCCAGGGTTGTGCCTAGTCTGGATATTTCATATAAATGGAATCATACAACATGTGGCCTTTTGTGTCTGGCTTCTTTCACTTAGCATAATGTTTTCTCAATTCATCCGTGTTGTAGCATGTATCAGAACTTTATTCCTTTTATTTTTGTTTATTTATTGTTATTTTTTTAAGTAGGCTCCCCTAAACGTGGAGCCCAGTGCAGGGCTTGAACTCACGACCCTGAGATCAAGAGTCGGATGCTTACCGACTAAGCCACCCAGGTGCCCCAGAACTTCATTTCTTTTTGTTGCTGAATAATAATCCACTGTATGGATATACCATATTTTCTCTATCTATTAATCATTTGATGGACATTTGGTTTTTTTCCACTTTTCAGCTAATACGAGTAATGCTGCTGCCGGGAACATTTGTGTCCACCGTTTACATGGACATTTTTTTTCCCCCAGTTTTACTGAGATATCACTGACATATAACATTGTATTAGTTTAAGGGGATGTGATATTGTGATTTATAATAAGGAATACATATTTGGTCTTTGTCCTTTCCTGGCACAGACCTCCTTGGAACTTTGTAAGTGATGAGAATGTGAGGTGCCTTTCGTTATGTGAATGAGGTGACTTTTGGAATGTCCCCAGATCACCTAAGAATAGGGGCTAGTCCCCAGAGCAACCAACCCCGGTGATTAGCGGGTTGGAACTTTCAGTCCCATCCCTCTGACCTCTTGGGAGGGGACAGGGGCTGAGGTTGCATCAGTCCCCAGTGGCAGTGGTTTAACCAATCATGCCTATGTAATGAAATCTTCATAAAAACTGAAAAGGACAGGGTTCAGAGAGCTCCTGGGTTGGTGAACACATGGAGATTTGGGGAGAACGGTACAGTCCAAGAGGGTATGGAAGCTCCTCACCCCTTCCCATATACCTCGCCCTGTGTGTCTCTTCCATCTGGCTGTTCCTGAATTATATCCTTTTATAATAAACCAGTGATCTAGTAAGTAAAATGTTCGAGTTCTAGGAACTGCTCTAGCAAATTAATTGAACCCGAGGAGTGGGCTGTTGGAACCCCCAACGCTATAGCAGATGAGAGAGCACAGCTGACAACCCGGGCTTGTGATTGGCATGGGGGGAGGGGCAGGCTCATCGGGCTGAGCCCTCAACCTGTGGACGCAGCTGCTGTCTCTGGGCGGATGGGATCAGAATTGAGTTGCAATGTAGGACGCCCTACTGGTGCCCGAGAATCACTGGGGGCTGTGTGAGGAGCTCCCCTCCTCCCGTCCACACGTTGGAAGTGGAGGCTCAGAATCATTTTAGATGGACGCCATAATGATTTGGTACGTGTGTATCGTGCAGTGATGACCACAATAAGTTAACGTCCACTGCCTCACATACTTACAGATTATTATTATTTTTAAGTAATCTCTGCACCCAACATGGGACTTCAACTCACCACCCCAAGATCAAGAGTCACATGTTCTAGGGGCGCCTGGGTGGCTCAGTCTGCCTTTGGCTCAGGTCACGATCTCAGGCGGGCTCCTTGCTCGGCGGGGAGCCTGCTTCTCCTTCTCCCTCTGCCTGCCGCTCCCCCTGCTTGCGCTCTCTCTCTGTCAAATAAATAAAGAAAATCTTAAAAAAAAAAAAAAGAGTCACATGCTCTACTGACTGAGCCAGCCAGGCACCCCTATTTTTTCTTGTGATAAGAGGTTTTAAGACTTATTCTCAACAATATTTAGATATACAACACAGTATTGTTAACTATAGTCACCGTGCTGTACATTACCTCCCCATGGCTTGTTTATGAACTTGGATTCATTATCACACCTAACAATAATTAAGGAATTATTAGTAATAATTCCTTAAAATCCTCTAATACTGTTTATATTAAAATTTCCCTGATTATCTCACTAAAAATTTTTATAGTAGGTTTGTTCCCGTCAGGAGCCAAAGGAGATCTACACGTAACATTTCTTTTTTTTTTTTTTTTTTTAAGATTTTATTTATTTATTTGACAGAGAGAGACACAGCGACAGAGGGAACACAAGCAGGGGGAGTGGGACAGGGAGAAGCAGGCTTCCTGCTGAGCAGGGAGCCTAATGCGGGGCTCGATGCCAGGATCCTGGGATCATGACCTGAGGCTTAACGACTGAGCCACCCAGGGGGCCCCCCCCAATATTTTAGAAACTTGGTTGCCGACGATTTTAAATTGAGAGATCCTGCATTAAAACCTAGACGCCCAGCTTCTCTTGAAAGAGACAACACTTGTAACCCTGGGTGCTCATTTCCACAGGGCGGGGCTGGGCTGGGGTCTGGACTGTGGCTCTCGGTTCACCCCAGTCCTCCTCACCCCCAGTACGCCCCACGCTGTCGCCTTTCCCGGGGCCTTGTACCATTCTCTGCCCCATAGCATAGAGGTATTAATGGAGTATTTCTTTAGCCATGGCTGTATCAACAGTGGAGACAGGACAGGCCGGGGGCTGCTGCAGCCAAGCGGAGGGTCCCGAGTACCAATGGAGGGGTGCGGGCTGTCCCAGGCTCCGCGTCCAGCACCATACTTGCGTGCCAGTGGGCGAAGGACCCAAGAGGGCCGGGCCTCGAGTGCTCCCTGCTATGGGTCGAGTGGAGGTGCCTCCCCCTCCCAAGAGGTCAGCCCATTGCCGGGGGCCCAGACCGCTGAGAGCCCAGTGCCAACGCACTGGGGCAGACTCGAAACCAAACCCCACGGCCTTTGGACTGGAGCCACCTACCTGAGCCAGCAGCCGGAGGTCCCGGCGGACTTGGGTGCCAGTCTCTCTGCTGGGGCGGGGGACGGCGAGTGGAAGCCCGCGGCTCTGATGGGAGCAGCCGCGGCCCTGGAGGGCAGGCCGCCCAGCCTCTGCCGAAGGGGACACGTCTTCCTCTCGTGTCGGGGGCTGGCACGAAAGCCACTCACTTCAAAAGCAGCAAGTTGGAGGCGAGCCCACAGCCTTGCTGGCTCACAAAGGCTGCTGGGCAAATGCCAACCATCGGTCAATCGGGGAGACCACCAGCAAGAGAGGGCCTTTGTAAGGACAGGGAGAAAGGCAGCGGGAGACACCGCAGAAGGATGGGGGTGAGGGGGCGAGGGGACGCAGGGCAGGGGAAAGACGGACGATCAAGCCAGGCTGAGCCTCAGGCCCCTTCACTTCTTGGTTGCATTTGGCAAAAGCAACCCCCTTCTCCAGGGCCGCAACCGCAGGTCCCCTCGCGCCAGCACGACCCACTCCGTTTCTCTGCGAGATGCGCCCACTTTTTATTCAGCTGTTTTCACACAATTTCCCCTCCACCTTGCGTATCATGTGGCATTGGCATTTTCTGACTCCATTGCCCCAATTCTCCAACAGCTCCCGGCCCAACAATTCAACTCACTTCTGACATAACTACCTGGAAGTAGCGTCAGACCCCACAGGTTAAAGGGCTCAGTTCCATGAGCCTGCCCCACCTCAGATGCCGGCCACAAATGGGGTGCCCAGGCTGCCCACATTTCTGCCCGGCCAACCACAAATTCAGGGGTTTCCACGACACCCCCTCAGGTTCAGTACTTGGCTAGAAGGGCTCACAGAACTCAGAACTTTACTCATGTTTACGGATTATAAAGGATACAACTCTGCGAACAGTAAAATGGAAGAGATGCATAGGGCAAGGCGTGGGGGAGGGAGGTGCGGTGCCCCCAAGCCTTCTCTGGGAGCATCACCCTCCCAGCACCTTGAGGTGTTCACCCAGAAGCTTTGTGAGATCTCTGAATCCAGAGTTTGTGTTGTGTAGGGATGGCTCCCCAGGATCCCCTCCCCTCCCCGGGGGTCAGTGGGAGGGGCTGGAAGTCCCACCCTCCAATCACTTGCTCTTTCTGCTGACCTGCCCATTCCCGGAACTTTCCAGTGGCCCTACCTTGTCACCTCATTAGCATAAACTCACCTGGAATCAAAAGGGAATCATTGTGAACAACAAAAGACACTCCCATCAGGAAATTCCCAGGCTGTTAGGGCAACTGGGGACAAAACTCAAGTATTTATCATATCACACATGTACTTCCTTCAGCGTTCTAATTACCAAAACTCTTCTCCATAGTCAACCATCAACTCGACAAAACAACCACCAAATTTGCCACTCAGAACAACCTGCTTGTTCAGTGCAACTCTCTGGTGTGTGAGCTCCTGGAGGCAGGGCGGTGTTCTGGCCAGCCCTGTGGACTCCATGAGTGTCAGGCCAGGGGGCAGCAGCACGGGGGCGGGGTGGGGGGGGCGCTGGCCTAGGGTGGCGGGACACGGTCCAAGAGCTGAGTGATGCCTGTCCGGCTTGGGCGCCCTCACACCCCCACTCTGGGCCAGGGAAGCATCAAAACATGTCCCAGTCAACACGGATTCTTGCCTCCAAGATGGCCCCATGCTCAAGGCACTGCTCTGGGCTCCCACTACCCAATGGCTGGCAGTGTTAAGAGGTGTGGGAAGAGCTTGGCAAGAACAGCTTTCAACAGCTCCTCTGGGGATGGAAATTACATGTGGAGATAAAGTTGCATTCACATCAGACTCTGATTAGGTTCCCAAACCAAATGTCCACCTTTAGAGCCTAAGGCATCCCCAGAAGTATATGGAAAACAGGCAAGATCCCCCCCGACGAATGTCCCACGTCACTTGCGCTGCTTAACTGGGGCCAGTGCCCCCGGGCAGCACCTGGTGTGGGTAGGTCATACCTCTTGCAGGTGAAGTAGAAACAGGACTGCAGGTGTTCCCCAGGCTCTCCACGTAAGTCCAGGCCAACCAAGAGTCCCTAGACTCCAGCACAGTCCCAGGCCAGGAGTGGGACGTGGGGGAGCTCAAGGACGGAATGTCAGGAGACTGATTAGTAACCACATATGGCTGTTTATTTTATACAGGGTTCTGTACAAAATATTTACATATATTCTTTACAGAATAGTAAACCACCTGAAGGTAAAAGGATAATGCTTTCTTCTCGTTGGCAGGGAGAATCCCGATGTCAGCAAAGCTACAAACCAAATGAACCCCCTCCTCAGGCTACAACAGAAGCCTGTCCACTTGCTTTCTGGGCTCCAAAGCCTGTGGCCCTGGGACCCTGATCCTGTGCCCCTCCGTCTCTCTTGCCCATCACTTCCTTCACTATTTACAGACAGGCCCTAGCGCTGCGGCAGGGAGCTGTGCATCTGTAAAGGCGGTAAGGGACAAGCTTGCCAGGGGAGAAGCCTGGGACTGGGTCCTGGAAGAATTTCCTTTGTCTTCATGCCTCCATCACTGTCTAGATTAATCCATCCCCATTACACTTACCCCAAGTGGGACTCCTGCTACAGAGAATGACCCATCACTTGAACCTTTTGTTTTTAAAGTGCTTAGTGTCACTTCACGTGACTCGGCGTAGACACCCCTCACTGCCCTGGGCCTGCCGGCCACCTGGCGTACTAAGTGCCCCCCACTCTGCGGTCTCGGTATGCTAAGGGACAGGACTTCTGGCACGTTCACTTTAAGAAAACTGCCAAGAGAACAGTGCCCGAGAGACAGGAAAATGAAAGTACATGGCTGCTTCATACTCTACACTTCAATTCTTTAAAGCAGCAAAAGGCACTTTTTTTTCAAGCCAGAGTTAATCTCAAACAAACTTGGTTTTGCTTACAGGAAAAGAAGTCCAGGAGGACTGAATGATCCGTCTTGTCCCCAAAGGCCTGGAGAGTCCTCCAGAAGCTTGGGGCGGGAGCTGGCTGTTCTCAGCTTCTCCCATACTCTTCAGGCTGGTGTGTCCCTTCTGGTTGCTGACAAGTCTCCAGTGACATTTCCAACCAGGAGGGAGAGACCAACAGCTGAGGAGATAAACTGAATCCCCCCAACGAAGCCAAGGTAGGAGTGAGTGGGTGCCTACTTGGGAGGAGAAGAGTGGTCTGAGGAGAAGAGGAAGGCAGGAGAGCGGGCCCGTGGGCGCTCTGGAAGTGTGGGGCTGTAAACACACAGCAGCTCTAGCTCAAGTGAGACGTTCAACAATCGAGGAGAAAGGAAACTTCAGGGTCTTAGAAGCTCATCTTGCTGATGAGGACTGTTCTTCCCGTGAAGGAACTATCATTTTTAGAGTGAGGGTACTTTACATGTTGGGTATATGTAATTCTAAAAAGAGTAATAAAAGTGTCCTTTAAAAGCAACATCATGTGGCTTGTGGGAGAGAACAGGGAGGAAAAAGAAAGAAGGCAGGCAAAACCAGTTTACATCTGGGCCCTACAACCTCACATTCCTTCCTGTTTGACTGGAAACGCCCAAGTGATTTCTAGGCTGAAAATAGGATTTACCTAGTAACCTAGTTCACGTCTGTCTGATTTCTGACCAGCTAACGGAGCTGCTCTCGAGAGGGGCCGATCTTGCGCCCGGCTAGCAGCCTCTGTCCCTCGCCTCGGTTCCAAGGTCTAACTCCCACGGCAGCAGCTCCTTCCTCCTCGGGCCAGTGGCAGCAGACGGAACAGGAGGCGCCGCGAGGAGGGCCCGTGGTGGCCCAGCTTACTTGCTACGGGGCAGCTAAGAAGGTCCCCGGTAACCAGGCTCGGAGGGTTCCCAGGGCCGTGGGCAGCTCAAGAAACCCCTGGCGCGAGAGGCAGCAGCGGGGAGCGCGGGGGGACGGCGGCGGGGAGGGAGAGGAGGCCCGCGGCCCAGCTCGGCCTCCGAGCGCAGCTCTCAGGTGCCAGTGGGCTCTGAAGTGAAGGCAAACCACGGGCAGGCAGGGCGGGGGCTGGCAGGAATAGAAAACCCTTGACAGAAACCCTTTTAATAAAGGAAATTCCACCCCCTCCCAATCCTTCCATGGAAGGGTGAGACCTCAACGTCATGGAGGCGGCAGCGCCCTCCCCGGCATTTAGGGGAACAGCTGCAGCTGGAACTTGGGGGCCCACTCCAGGGCACTTTTCACCACAGCCAGGGCGGCCGCTCCAAGTGCCACCGTCAGCCCCATCACCGCCAGCTTCACGAAGCGGTTGGTCCTTGGTTTGGTCAGGACGTCTTTCGTTCGCTCCTCAGGTCGCAGCAGTCCCCGGAACCGCTGTCGCAGCACTGCGTCAGGTCTCTGCTGGGCTGATGCCAGCTCAAAGTCTTTGAAGGTAGAGGCGGCCGTCCTGCGGGGCGGGGGGCGGGGGGAGACAGAAGAAGGAAATGCTATGAAAGAAGAGACAGAAACACGGGATTACCGCAGAGGCTGAGGGCAGAGCCATCCACTGCTTACAAGGCTCTTCTACATAAAGACCCGTGAAGACCACGGCAGGGATTCCGCTGGCCTGAGCTTAGATCTCTGGAAACATCCCCCAGCCCGGTGCCGGCAGACACAATCTTCCACCACTTCTGCTCACCCACAGACACCCCCAGCTCAACCAGAGCCTCCACCCCACTCACTTCTCGGCCTGCTGTTGGGCAGATGCCTCCCGAGCAAGTTCAGATGGGGGAAACTGAACAAACAGGTCTCCGGCTCTGCTGATCAGGGTCTCATAGGGCAGGTCCTGAGGGATCTGGGACAACAGGTGGTGGACCGAGGCCATGTCACAGTCACAATCCAGGACTTCCTGCTCTCGATACAACACGATCTGTGGGGGAGCAAGGCCTTGCATCAGACACCCGGACAAGCAGGGTCTTCGCCGCCCTTCATTCTCCTTAGAGATGATTTTTTTTTTTTTTCAAAGATTTATTTATTTATTTGAGAGAGCGAGAATGAGAGAGAGAGAGAGTACATGAGAGGGGGGAGGGTTAGAGGGAGAAGCAGGCTCCTTGCTGAGCAGGGAGCCCGATGCGGGACTCGATCCTGGGACTCCAGGATCATGACCTGAGCCGAAGGCAGTGGCCAAACCAACTGAGCCACCCAGGCGCCCCTCCTTAGAGATGAATTTAAATTGGTAACAGACAGCAGACTCTTGTATCCATCTAGGAAGGAATAACGTATGTATGCTTTTCCCAGGGGGCTGGCCCTTCCTGCTACAGGCAGACTTCCACCCCAGGATGCGGAAGGCAGACCAACGAAATGAAGGAGGTTCTTTTAGGAGGAAGAAAAGGAAAGGGCTCACAGGGAGACTCCTGGAGCTCCCACACAGAAAAAAATGGTTCAAAGCAGTAGAAAGGACCGTCTTGCTCCCCTTTCAAGAGCAGTGAAGGCACCTCCACGGAACAGGAACCCCATCAAGCCCTGCCAGTGTCCCCCCTGTCGTCATACCGCACCCCGTCCCTCCCCAGCCTGGAGCTGGCAGTCTGTACTAGTTCCGGGGGATGTCAAGAGGAACACGGACAATTCGTTATGCACATGAGCATTTTAAAGGTTCAGAAGAGTCATGCAGGAAACAGATCTCTTTAACTTAGTTTAACCAAGCACTTCCCAATCCTATTTTTACACAGAGCCTTTTCTTTCCCTGTAACACTCCCATTCACACTGCACAGAGCGGCGACCAGGGGCACCAGTCTGGGAAATGCTCTTCCCATCTTTCCATAATCACCAGGTCTCCCTTGAGGGAAAACGATCGAGCTGGAATGGGTGATGGGGAACCCAGCTGCTGGCTCGTGGTCTGTACCTACCACGGCTGCAAAGTAAATGGGCATCAGCGGGTGGCAGGCCAGGAAGAAGTCGTATAACCGCACGACGTGCCTGAAGTCAGACAGGACATGCCCAAACCAGGTGATGAGCCAGCTGAGGGCAAAGATGGTTCCCACCTCGGCACTAGGAGCAAGGAAATCCAGACGTTAGGTTCCCTGACGGGCTGTCCCTCTCCGCTCCATGGGACATCTTTGTCCTCGGTGCTTTTAAGAAGGAAGAAGTTGGGAAATACACTCTCTGGAAAATTCAGCCCCCTAGGAATTCAGCATCTTCTCACCGAATACAAAGTCCTTAAAACATACCCACCATCATGACACTAATACTACGATGGGGTCCTGGTTGCCTTATCTCGCCGGCTGCCGTCCTAACGGCTAACCGATGTCAGTAACAGGAAGAAGAAGTAGCTATTTTCAAGGAACAATACCATGGTTTTCTTTCTGAAAAAGTCATACACACTTTTGGCAGACACAGGCGCATATTCTCAGGCTTAAAGACACAACTGTATTAATTGTTCAGTTGACGTGAGACGATCGAAACATCTTAAGACATAGACATTAAAAAAAAAAAGGGGGGGGGGTGAGGCGTTGGCCAAGGACTCATTTCCAATTACACAGAAGAGAAAAAAAATTATGTAAGATTTGCAAAGAAATATTTCTTCTCCTTGGAACCTGGAGAATAAAACAACCCACGGATGGCCTAGTCCTTCTCGACTCAGGATCCTACAGTAGTATGTCCTTTTCTTGAAGCAATAACCTCAAAGTCCACCTCGGCATACTCGCCTCCCCAGCCCTCCCCACCAGATGTAACCTCCTCAAGGGCATGCGCTGTACATCTCTCGTATCCCACAAGAGCACAGTACCCAAGAAAGTGCTCCCAGGCCGTACAGAACTGAATTATCCAGCTTGCTGGCGAACAGAAAGGACAACCTGGAAGAACTTAACGCCAATCAACATACGATGGTGGTGAGATTGAGCTGGACTTGTGAGGAAGAGACCAGGGCCAGGAGAAAGTCAAAGGGGTGTGGGTGCGCGTGTGCAAGTGTGTACATAAATGGAGATGCATACATACCTCTGCATGAAGTCATGGAGCTCTGGATTCACCTGGTCAATGATGGGCATCAGATAGTTTAATATATGCTTGGTGTTGTCCATCGTTGGATCCATGAAATCCCTGGACGGAGACAATTCAATGAGCTCGGTCAGCCCAAATGCTCAGATCAGGGCCGAGGGGGTCGAACAGGGTTCCCACCACCGGAAACAGACTAGCAAACGGGACAAGGAGCGGTGCCCAGGGGGGCTTGAGGGGCGATCCCACATCCTCTTGTATTCCTCTGCGCTGGTACCTGAGGTGATGGGTAGACAATTTTTCTACCAGCGACGGCGTCAGCTTCTCGCCTACCACCAGCAGAAACGTGACCACGATGTCGTGGTAGCCCTGATAGTAGTGCAGCTGAGGGTTGCGCTCCAAGATGAGGAGGATGATGTCGATCAGCTCTTCCTGGAGCCCCTCTCTCTGTTTCTCCGGCATGCCTGGGGAGGGAAGACGAGGGGAGATGCCCCTGAACACACTGAGGAGACTGCTGACGAGGAGGGGCAAAGACAGTCAGCAAAAGATTTGCCAAGTGTTTAATAAAAAGAATGAGTTATGAATAGTTTGGCAACGCGTATTAAAATCCCCACACCACTGACACTACTCGGAGCAGCACTTACGGCGGGGGGAGCCCGCCGACCCCTTCTCAGCCCAGTGGCCACAGCTGACATGGCCGGACCCCCCGCGCCTCTCCTGCGGTGGCCGGGACGTGCCCCGGGGTCACTGCCGGGGAGCACCTACATGCTCGGCAACCCACACCGAGGGGAATTTTATAAAAATAATGGAGTCATAAAACACAAAGGAACTACTCCAGGGTCAAGGAGGCTGATGAGGTAGGATGACTGAATGGGAACTGCTTTGCGTTCGTATTCCTTTTTTCCTTTAAAGGATGTTACTGCCGTTGAAGGGTGAGACCTGAATAAAATCTCCACGCTAGCAGCACTAGTTTTCAGTGTGCTGCTGATTTACTGAGTGCCGTGTGATTACGTAAGAGCCTTGGTTTTCGGAACCACACCCTGAAATATTTAGGGGTAAAGGGACACCACGTCTGTATTGATTCTTAAATAATTCAGAAAAAAAAGCGTATGTGTGTGTGTAGGAGAGAGACAAAGAATACTAAAGCAAATATAGTAAAACATTAACATATAATATAGGAAATCTGCGTAAAAGGCATCTGGGGGATTATCTGTCCTATTTTTGCAACTTTTTCTATAGGTATGAGAAATTACATAAAAATAAAAAATTTAAGAGTTGCACGTTCTCCTCTAAACCAAACGAAGTATCACAGGAATATATCTTGATCCAAGATATATCTGGAAACCCCTTCTCAAAAAGGCTTATTCTAAAAGACCCAATAAAAAGAAAATGAAGTAACTACTATGGTTAGGGAAAGTAATCAAAGTGGTGAGAGAACAAGACTAAACTCTGTTTGAATTTTCAGAGTAAGAGAGGTTAGCTGAGCTCAAAAGAACACGGATGTAAGCAGAATATGAAACCACATGGAAAGTGCAGCCCACACAAAGAACCTCACAGACCGACATTCCATAAACGGCAGAGGCAGAAAGGGGTCAGAGGAAAAGCAGGTTACCTAGGGGGAAACGAGGGCACCTGCCTGCGTGCTCTCATCCAAACCGGCAGGACAGGGAAAGGGGACTGGGCCATGGGCAGACGTTTTTATCAAAAGCAAGGGGGCAGGCTACCGGCTACACAGGAATCACGAGCAGGGGAGCAAGCAAGATTTAAGAGGCAAAATCCAAGCCAGAGCATGGTTTCAGAAGAGTGAGGCAACGGGTTTAGAGGCTCTTGTCCTCTTTAGCAATTCTCCTGTCTTTGTGGACCTAAACAAAGGCGAGGCTGCCAAAGGAAGAGAAATGGATCATAAACACGAGGTTTGTTGCCCAGCTTCCTTCACTGTGAACAGGGAGACAACAGTTGGTCATTCTTCTCATGCTTCCTGGAATGGGAAGCGATTTCCAAACAGACCCTTTAAAACATTCAGGGAATGGCCTCCTTCCCTTCCAGTCCAGGGACCCAAGGGAGGCATAGGTAAGATCCCTATTTATACATCTAATCAAATGAAGATATGAATACTTCTTCTTAGTGCCCCCTTGTAAACCTATCTGCTCTTTAAAGCCAGACGATGGCTCGAACGGTCCCTAGGAAGTCACTCTGGTGGTCATGAAGCGGGGAAAGCCTCTAGGTTTTTCATTTAGCACCTCTAGGCCAAGAGAAATTACTCTGGGCTCAGGCTTTCGCAGTGGGGGTGTGAACGTGACTGAGTGGGGGAGAGAATGTCTCCGCAGACTGAGCGTACAAAGGGCCCCTGACGAGGCAGGGGCCCCTTCGAGGTCACGCCGTGGGCCAGGCTGGAAGCAGCAGGGCCGGGAACTCCCAGGTGGCGGGACCCGGAGAGCTTCTCACCAGGCGGGAACCGCCGCAAAGACCGCCTGACGTCCAGCAGCACTTGCTGGTAGTCCTTGCTTCCCTGCCGTAGGTTCTTCCCTGTGGGAGGAAAAGGAACATGTTACTGCAGGAATGTCTGGGAAGCCAGATCGGGGGCAAAAACGTTCTGGTATGACATCAGAGGCCCGGAGGACATCCTTCAGGTTTCTCCTGAAGAGGACATGACACAAGACACAACATTTGGAGAAGAATCCCCAGTTTAGTTCCAAACGTGCTGTTTCATTCGAGTCACTGTGACCGTAAGAGGAGGGACATGCAGTGTTCAGGGTGAGGCAGAAGGAGCAGCAGAGAAGTCAGGAAGCCAGGGACCTACTGGAAGCTGCTCCTGCATGTCACTGGGGGACTGCTCTGAATTTCAACGTGCACATCGGTAAAATGGGGTTATCTCCTTCCATACGTTACTACGCTGATCAAATAAGATCATGAATGTGGAAAGCACAGATCACTGGAAAACCCGGACATCTCTGCAGCCTCGGGAGCACTGAGCTGTTCAGGAAGGAGCATTAAGATAAACTCACACAAAGAAGAACCTAACCTCTCTTGACCCTGAAATTTAAAACCTAAGACACTGCAAATAGGAGCCTGTGTTCAGCTAAGTCCAACACAGTGTGAAAGTAAGGAGGCAGTCTCCAGCTATTGTAAATGGAACAAGCACCCATCTCCCTCAACCCCAGCCAAGGCAATATAACAAGTGCGCATTTCCATCCCAACCCCAATCCGAAGCTACCAGAGGAGCACGTGTAACACTTCCCTACACACAGACTTCATCTTGTAAAGATCTGGGACGTCTGGAATCTGACAGAAGAACATCATCTCAGGGTTTAGAGCGTGAATGTGGCGACGTCTTTTCCTTCCAACTGAAAGCTGACTGCTCCGAGGCAGCCGGTTTCAAAGATAGTAACAAGTGGCAACTTAACACCTACTCGACTGCACCTTGGCGCCGTGGGCTTTTTAGCAGCAGAGGCCGCGTGACCTGCCTCTAGCACCTGGCACACGGCAGGAGCACAACTAATACCTGCCACACGAGTGAAAGGATCTCAAGCACCTGGACTTTGGCCATACATAGCAGAAGAGCAATCGATGTTTGTTGAGTGAATGAATGACCAAGTGGATTCATTGTTCTGCAGTACTTTTTTGTATTTTGTACTATATTCCAAGGAACTGCTTTTACTTCATGGGGCTTGCAAATTAGTAAAGTAACAGCTTTTCTTTTCAAGATTTATGTATTTATTTTAGAGAGAAAGAGAGAGAACACGCAAGTGAACGCGTGTGGAGGAGGGGCAGAGAGTGAGGGAGGGAGAATCTCAAGCAGACTCTCCACTGAGCGCAGAGCCCCACGCGGGGCTCAATCCCACAACCGTGAGATCAAGACCCGAGCTGAAATCAAGAGTCGAACACCCAACCGACCGAGCCACCCAGGTGCCACAGTAACAGCTTTCATACTGTTGCAGAACTTTAGAATTCAAAACGATCTTAGTATTTCCCAATAAAAAAGTTTTGTTTTGTTTTGCTTAAGGACCAGAGAGGTATTCTCTCTCCCCATGGCCTAGTGTTTCTCAAAATGAGTTCATCTGCACCAAATTGAGTTCATTTGCCTGTTAAAATACAGATTCCTATAACCCACCTCTAAGTGAATATAGAAACTAGAATAATAAACTCCCCTACCTAGTCAATAAAAGCTACCTATCAATCTAATAAAAGCTCATTTCATTTTTTGAAGAAAATTCTACTTATCAGTTTCAGAGGGCGCCCAAACATGTCCTAAAATGCTTTAGATTTGCTCATCTACTATTGGCTTAAAATGAGCATAAAAATCAAAGATTCTGGAATTCTTTCTTTTTTCTTTTTTAAGATTTTATTTATTCATTTGAGAGAGAGCAAGAGAGCATAAGCAGGGGAAGTGGCAGAGGGAGAGGGAGAGGCAGACTCCCCACTGAGCAGGGAGTCCGAGGCGGGGCTTGATCTTAGGACCCCGAGACCACGATTTGAGCCGAAAGCAGACGCCCAACCAACTGAGCCACCCAGGCGCCACCTGGAATTCTTCTATCCTTGCGTCCTAGACAAATTTCCCTCACAACCACACCCCACCATTACCTGATATAGGAGGTGGGTCACTGGTGTTGACATTGAGGAGCTTGGGCCACACTTTCTGCCTGATCTCATCAGTCAGGAGCCCTCCTTCACTGATAGCCATACGTCTAAGGGCAGCCACATCGGTAGGGTCACTGTTCAGAGCCTGGTGTATCTCTGACACTTTCTTTTTCCTTTTGGTGTTAAAGTCTGCAAAACAAAGGGGGAAAAGCCATCAGGCACATATTCAGCATGTGCTCATTTTCTGTGCAGGGCTCAATCTCCTTATTTGGTTTGAGGTACAAGTAGGTATTTTTAATGTTGACCTACAGATAAGTCATTAGTGCATCATGTGCAAAACACTAAGGAGATATACCATATAAGTAACAAGCAAGGAATTACAATTATAATAAACACTCAGTGAATTCAGGCATATCTAACACTATTAAAGTTTTGGAATAGAACAGAATGCTTGTTCTTTCTTAATAACTAACTTCACAGAACATATATATGTCTTTATATAATAATTTTTTCCTGTTGTTTATATACATGTCACCAAAATTTAATACTTTTAAAATAAGACCACATGAGAAAAAATTCTCCAGTTACATGCTAATACAGCTGGTAACATATCAGAATTACAGAGATATTTTTTCTTTCTTTTTTTTTTTTAAAAGTAGGCTCCATGCCCAATGTGGGGCCTGGACTCATGACCTAGAGATCAAGAGTTGCATGCTCTATCAACTGAGCCAGCAAGGCACCCCTACATAGAGATATTTTCAAAAGTAGAATATCAAAGGGTGTACTTGGGTCTCCAGTGTGGCTGGTGGTAAGAGAGGCATGATCGTGCACACAGAGCAACTGTTTCTTGACCACCATGTTAATCGTGTGTGAGCAGAAAGTAATGTTTTAAGCATCTTACATCCTTATGTGATAGTTTGTGATTTATACACTGGCATTTTACTGTGTTTAAATTCCTTTTTAGAAAATTGGCTGACAGTCTGTGGTTGATGTGTATCCTATTGTAATTTTTCTATCGAAAATAATGCAGTAATATGCTTTCACAGTTCAATGCAGAATATCTAATTTTAGGAACAGCAAACACAATAAAAGTTAAACAAGGCAATACCAAAGAGATGTTACAAAACAGTGTAGTATAATTGCCCCCCAAAAATGGATGTGCAGACACCAAGAGCTCAAAGAGGCCATGGTAGGTCAGGCTAACTTGAGAAGGCCTTACTGAAGAGTGCAATTTCTAAAGGAAGAGGGGATTTCAAGAGGCAAGGGGTGGGGCAGAGAGCAAAAGAAAGGCTTGGATCCAAGAAACACAAGGCCCTTTCATCTAACAGTAAACAGACTCATTTAAGAAATAGTCATGTAGCATATACAAGGCGCAAGACCCTACAGGTAAATGGAAGGTAACACTGGAAGGAAGGGTAAGCTTTAAAAGGGTCCCTAAGTAGCCTTCCTCAATAACACCCTCTTTTGAGACAACAGTCTACAAATTGTTTCCGTGACAAAGATGCACATTATTAACACCACGGAAGTTGGTCCTAATGATCCTGGTTACCTGTGACAACTGTGACATACAAACCATACAAACAGAGGCATCACTGGCTTGGAGTCACATGCACCTGGAGCTGCAGACAGGAATACAACACAGGGGACTCTTCACCCAGGTAAACCTGTTCTCCTGGTTAGACCGTTATTTTCCCTGGTAACCTAGTAGGGTGACCATCTGTTCCAATTTGTCGGAGAGATTCCTGGTTTACGCCTATAGTCCCGGCATAATTACTCATAGTAAACCCCTCCTGCTACCTGCACTCTCAGAAATGTCCCACCTTGGATGCTAAATTAAATGGTAACTCTACCTAGAGATCATGAAAAATCAGGTCTCAATTCCCTCTGCTAGCATAGCACCTAACTAGTCTAATGTTTGTTTATAATGTGCTTAAAGTTCTTAAAGATTGATTGATTGATTGATTCAGAGCATGTGCATGGGCGGGGGGTGGGGGGGGAGAAAGAGAATCTCAAGCAGACTCCCCACTGAGCGTGGAGCCCGACCTGAGCCAAAATCAAGAGTCCACTGCTTAACTGAATGAGCCACCCAGGTGCTCCAAGATGCTTCAAGCTCTTGGCTTGAGTGTGTCCTTCCTTCCTTCCACCCACCCGCTCATTAGTCTATCCATTCATTTATCAATCCATCATTGAATGAGCTGCTACTCGTAGTAAGTACTACACTGGGGACAGAAAGATGAATATGACACCTCAGCCTTTGAGAGAGTCACATTAGCGAGGAACACATTATTATATAACAGAATCATGAAAAATTATGAAAATCCAGAGGGAAGAATGACTACTTCTGGGGCAATCAAGAAAGGCTTCAATGAAAATATATTCTGCCACCTTTTTTTAGTTAAAAAAATTTTTTTTAAGGTTTCATTTATTTGAGAGAGAGAGAGAGGCAGAGGGGGAGGGAGAGGGAGAAGCAGGCTCCCTGCTGAGCAGGGAGTCTGACGTGGGGCTCCATCCCAGGACCCTGGGATCATGACCTGATCTGAAGGCAGACGCTTAACCGACTGTGCTACCCAGGCGCCCCTATTCTGCCCCTATTCTTCTTAAAGCAAACTTTGCACATGGAAGACTGTGTTGAAGGAAGCATTCCAGGCAGAGGAAAGAGTGTGTGGAAAGCCTTGTCACATGAAAGAAATAACGCGTCCAGAAAACAGAAAAATTCTGTGAGGCTGAAGTGTTAGGGAAAGAGAAAAAACAGAACCTGGATGGATGCAGGAACTGTGGGCAATAAGAATTTTGGTTTTATCCTGCACTCAAGAAGAAGACAAGGTGGGGCGCCTGGCTGGCTCAATCAGTGGAACCTGTGATTCCTGACCTCGGGGTTGTGGGTTCGAGCCCCACACTGGGTGTAGAGATGGCTTAAAAATAAAATATTAAAAAAAAAGAAAAAGAGGAAGTCAAGGAAGGAATTTTATTTATTTATTTATTTTATTTTATTTTTTTAAGATTTTATTTATTTATTTGAGAGAGAGAGAATGAGAGACAGAGAGCATGAGAGGGAGGAGGGTCAGAGGGAGAAGCAGACTCCCTGCCGAGCAGGGAGCCCGATGCGGGACTCCATCCTGGGACTCCAGGATCATGACCTGAGCCGAAGGCAGTCGCTTAACCAACTGAGCCACCCAGGCGCCCCAAGGAAGGAATTTTAAACTCGATCAGGGGCTCCTGGGTGGCTCAGTCAGTTAAGCATCTGCCTTTGGCTCAGGTCATGATCCTGGAGTCCTGGGACCGACCCCCATGTTGGGCTCCCTGCTCAACGGGAAGTCTGCTTATCCCTCTCCCTCTGCCCCTCACCCCACTCATGCGCACGCTCTCCCGCTTTCTCTCTCTCAAATAAATAAAATTAAAAAAAATAAACTTTGGATCAAAGGCCCATCCTTTGGAAGAGAAGGCTGTATGTGTTCAGAGAGGGACTGCAGACATGTAGAAGAAAACACTTTTTATGTAACAGCATAGGCTGAGACAAAATATGGCAGGAACTGGATTAATTTCCAGCAAAGAAAGAAAAAGCAAAGTATTTTATTTATATATTTTTTTATTTTTAAATTTTGGGGTGTCTAGGTGGCTTAGTTGGTTAAGTGTCTACCTTCGGCTCAGGTCATGATCCCAGGGTCCTGGGATCGAGCCCCGCATCGGGCTCTCTGCTCAGTGCGGAGCCTGCTTCTCCCTCTCCCTCTGCTGCTCCCCCTGCTTGTGCTCTCTGTCAAATAAATAAATAAAATTTTTAAAAATAAATAAATAAATAAATTCAGAGTGTCCTTGTACTTTCTACACATCAAAAATTAAGAACACTTAGAATGATAATACTGAATATTGCTTGAGGTAAGCTGACATTTAGAAATCTTATTAACCTACTTGCTCAGAGTGTGGAAATATTTCCTCAAATTGTTTAGACATATATCCACCCCACCCCTCTTCCCAAGTAAGCTATTCGGCAATCTGGGGGAAAGGAAAACTGTTGCTAGTATCTTGCGGGAAATAACACTGTTTGCAATCAGCTGGATTTCCATTATGCTTTGGCAGATAATCTGCCAGAATTTTAACTAATTCTGAACTCAAACCACAGCTCCCATACTTATTTCTCCTAACACTATGCTCCTATTCTGTTTTTAATCCTGCATTTCAAAATTTACTACTATCTTCTTGTTTTTGGCACTTTGTGGGAACTCAACAAATATGTGCAGAGTAAGAGAAATAATTTAGCTTAGCCACTGTTCCTGGAAAAAGTGGCCTATAGTAAATGACATTATTTTCCCCCACACTACTGTTAGGGACAGGCTCACTGCAAAACTCTAAATAGATGTGTAGACTCTGTGGCCTCTTTCTAAAGCTACTGGTACTTCCCAAAGCAGGATACTGCTCAAATGTGGACCTGAGCTGCTGTCTGTTTAGGCTCTGCTATCAACCCCACGATCTGGTGACTGAATGGTAGTGGCAGATGAGGAAGGCACGCCTATGTGTGCCATTCCCCGCTTCAACAAAAATTTATTGCCCCTAATATATAGGCTCTCATTGTGATGGAAAAAAGGAGGAGAAAACAGAAAACTCCAGTGCACCAGAGATGTACAAATTATAGAGTGGTAAGGACAACAGTAGGCCTATACAACAAGGAAGAAAAGGTTAGCAGAGTCTCAGCTGAACAACGAGTTTCATCTCAGAAAGAGAAAAATCATAGACCTATTCTTGGGATGCTCAGGAAAACAGTAAAATTAACGTCCACTCAGCCTAAATCAAAACAATGGAAGACCCAGCCAGAGGGGAGACAGATTCCCCCAAACAGACACTTCCTGTCCCATCCCTTGAACTTCTAATGCTGACACTGGAAATTAACTTAAAATTTTATGTTTAAACTTCATACCTGTACCAGATAAAGACAGTGGGAGAGGAAAACCTTACCACACTCAAGTAAGGTTCCTACTAAAAACAAAATAAAACAAAGTAACCTCTGTTTCTGGAAGTCCGAATTAGTTTCAACAAACAGTATCCAAATTAGCAGAGATCCATTAACTACCTGAAACATGAAGACAAGCATGTATTAAGAAAAACTGCTTGGGGCGCCTGGGTGGCTCAGTCAGTTAAGCATCCGACTCTTGATATCAGTTCAGGTCTTGATCTCAGGGTGGTGAGTTCGAGGCCCCTGTTGGGCTGCGTGGAGCCTACTTAAAACAAAACAAAACAAAAAAACTGCTTTACCCCAACAATAAAGAAAAATATTCTCGAGAGTAAACCAATCTGATAATAAAGTCTACAAAGGAGGGATTCCAGTATTAGTAACTTTGCCAACAATTCTCCAATATGATTAAAAGCAGAACAAAAACTCTCATCTCTAAATTCCTTCCAGAGAAGCAAAACCAAGGAAACTGGGTTAAAGTCTCACAACCTAGGCACAGCCACACTACAACAGGTCACAAAACCATACTGCTTGGGGCACTATGCCGTGAGGACAGATGTCATACAAACACACTAGCAAAGGGTTACAAGGCCGAAGTGCCCAAAGAAGTAATATGAGGAGCGAACAGGAGGAAAGGAAGATAACAGAAAATCAGCGCAGAGAAACAAGATGTGGACACCAGGTGCTTCACCAAAAATGTGGGTTGCATATGTGGCTGGCTCTATTATGGGCAGCACCCATCAGGGGACGGACAAATGGGAAAGCTACCTTAATCTGAGGGGGAAAGGATTATTTTCCTTGGTACAGAGTAAACATTAATAATTCTAAGTGCCATGTTTTAATTGTATGTAAAACATTCAAAAACACTGCACAATGAAACGATGATTTCATAGAAATTACTGCTTAGTATGCAACTATAAAAATTTGGGAGAATCGCTTTCTACTACACAGTTAAGTAACGTTAAATTAGGTGGCACAGCATCGAAACAAAAAGTAGATTAGTGGTTGCCAGGAGCTGCGGAGACTGGAGAATGGGGAGTAATGGGGAGTGATGGGGGGTTTCCTTTTGGAATTAGAAATGTTCTGGAATCAGACAGTGGCTATGACTGCACAACACTGTAAATGTGCTAAGAACCAGTGAACTGTACATTTTAAAAGGCTGGATTTTTATGGCAATTAAAAGAAAGAAGTGGAGCACGTACACCGCGTAAATTAAGCCGGCGAGAGATGAAGTTTGGGAAACGGGCCTTACAACTAGGGAGGAGGCACCAGGAGTGTGCGGACGTGGCCAGACAGCCTCGGGCCGAGGGTGGAGGCTCGGCCTCAGTTCTCCGGGAGACCCAGTTCTCCCCAGACGTGACGAAGCCGGACCAGATCCCCCGCCAGTCCTTTGCACCGGGGACGCGAGTCCGCCAGCAGAGTTCCTCTGGTCTCAGCATTCGCTGACTCCCCAACTCCAGGATCGCTTCCCTTTCAGACGTGACCGGGCCCACCACCCTTTTCCTCTCCCGCCGTCCCGACCTCAGCCCGCGGCGCTGGGCACACCCCGCGCGGTCCCTCGGGGGCCCCTCAGCCCGCGGCCCCCCCACCCTCCGGACGCCGCCTGCGCCCGGGGCCGCTCTTCCGACAGCTGTCCTCTGCCTACCCCCCGCAGAGCCGCCCCTGCCCCTCGGGCCGTCCCCGAAGGTCGTTCCTCGGCGCCCCCGCCGGCTTCCGTACCTGTCTTCTCCGCGCCACCGTCCCAGGGGCTGGAGGTGGGGCCGTCACCCTGCGCACTCCGGAGGGCCATGTC